CGCGGGAGATGGATGTACGAACCGAAACCTTGTACATTCTAAGGGGCGGCAAGAACATTATGTATTATACGCTCCTACGCCGTGCTTCCCTTGCTCTCTCTCTCTCTCTCTTACACCCCTACTTCTCCATCCGCGAAGTCCTTCGTGACGGAAGGGCGGCGCGTACCACCAACCGCCGCTTCTTTTGCTTGAATTCTCGAGAAAAAAGTGCGTAACTTCATGCAGGCTGCAAAAAGGGGATGTAATATCAGTGTGCAAGGGGCTAAAGATGTCTATACGCGAGAAGCAAGGGAATAAAATTATCAGACAGTTTATTCCGGCGTATTTCATACTCTTCTAAATCAGGAGAGGCTTTGTAAATTATAGAGCGAAGTGATATCCAATTCTGAAATCTTCAAAATACGGTCACACCTACGGCGCACGTCTCGTAAAAACTGTAATAATAATAGATTTTTATTTCCTTCCATATGTAGATTCTGTGAATGTCATTCAAAGATATGTCAGCCTTTTAATAGAAACAATAAAAGTTCAGCGGGTGTTGAATAAGTAACTGTTGGTTTTGTCTCGACCTGACCTGTCCTTTCAGCTTGACATTTGCGGGAAAATGTTATTTGCGATCTGTGATCGTGTCTTAAATACGGTGCAACCTCAAATACGCGATAATGAACTGAATGATAATTAGCTGTTGTTTAAAAAATCTTAAGAAACGGATAATGCACTTAAATCTAATAATATAAGCGTCATAATCATTTATCAAGTCTGGAATAATTATTTCGCGAAAGTATTTTAAAATGTTAAGCTATATGTTCATATAGACATATCATTAATCGGCGAGCAATTAACTTGAGAAAAAAGTTAAGGGTGGATGCACGTTGGCTTGAACAAGCTGAATCGGATGCGGCGGATGCTGCATAATAAAATGCGGCCACGTACTGATGGATCGCGATACCGGCGCATTAGTAGCCAGCAGTAAAGCTTAATGTTGATTGCGCAGAGTTTCGGGCAAGCCCGTAAAAATTCTGATTAACCCGCCAGACGTGACGGCATGTACCGTTCGAAGTAGACTCCGCGTGTAATAAAAATACACGAAAAAAAATAAATAAAAACCAGGGAAAAACAGAAAAGCAGCATATGAGGGTTTCATCCTCCTTCATGGAGGATCGGTCGGGAATGTATATATGCGTGCAATTGTGAAGAAGGGACATCGAGTTACTTTATATGCGCGGTATATCGCGTGCGACAAAACGATTTGCGGGTGAAGATCTTGCGACGATGTTGGATTCAATAAAGGAACGTATTCGAAAAATGCAGTTGCGCGTTTAAAGTACTCTTTCGGTCCCTAAGGAAGACTGTGGTTCTATGAAGGTGTTACAATGCGAACTCGTTCGGATATAATCGATCGATGAATATAAAGTCTAACAATAAGCTCAATCTATATAATACGCAAAGTCCAGAAATTCAAGATTAAAAAATACCATAATGGGAAAAGTTTGTGGAAAACTAAATAATGCAAATAGTGTTTCTATCTAGAATAGCAAGTTCGTAGATGGGTTCAAGATTTAGCCAGCCGTAGCGTATATTTAAGTAATCATCTCTTTCTCTCTTTCTCTCTATAGATATATTTACTAAAAATATTATAAAAATTAAAAACAAACTCCAGCTCTAGAGGAAAGAAAATGGCTGTTCTAGAAATATGATTCGTTAAACATACATATAAGATAGTTAAACATTTTTTTCATTTTTGTATATACTTTAGGCATATATACCGTTTGCTAAAATTCTAAACAACGAAGGAAATAAATGAGACAAGATATAGATATATTTATAATCCTTAATATCAAGAATATGATTATAAACGGTGATCTAGGGCGATATTTTATTGGTGCAGAACGAGTGTCGCCGTAGCGGCGCAGTATTGCTCGGATGTACGTAAAATTCGAGGGGGGAAAAAACCAGTCGAGTCGCGTCGTGCCGGATCGAGCATCCAGCATCCCGACATCTCGTGAGATCAGAACTTAAGGCAATTGCGCCTCGGCGCACTGATACAACAAAGGGCACCGTCTAACGCGGTTATACCTCGTAAGCGAAACTCTATTGCTATATCCCATCCTATATTGGCCGTCTCAGAGAGCCCACCTTCATCCATCCTCCGTCTTCTTCCCTCACTTCCGCGCCGTCCAACCTCCTTCAACCCTTATCGGTCTATTACTTCCTCTCTCTTTCCGCCGCTCCGTCTCTATCAATACCGACCTAATCTACTTTGCCGGCAAATAGTGTTCGCCTTCCCCAGACAATGTAACCCCCTAGAAACCACCCTCTTTCCTCCCCATCCCCGCACTTGTATCTGCTCGCTATAAGTCCGTGCTTCGTGGCCCCTCACCCCCCCTCCCCTCTCGATTTATCCGTAGAAAACGCGATCATCGCGCGCGTCCGCCCGAATTAATTTGGATTGTTTAGAGATTGTTTTGGGGGCGCGAGTAATTTTCTACGACGCGGGAAGTGAGAGGGAGATAATCCCAAGTGCGATAACCCGGAACGGAGTAATGAATTGATCGTTCGCTTACTCACCATAATTCCTATATAAGCGATTATTGTTTACCGAATTTAAAATTGAGGAAATTATCATAATTTGACGGAGATATAAATTTAAGAGAAAATATATTAAAAATCTAATTTGCGCCCTCCCGAAAGTCTGATTAATGATATCCAGTCGGAAGACGGTGACAAAATCGAGGGAGAGATTCATCTCTGGTATAATTTTTTATGAACCACGCTTCATGTACCCCATAACAATTAAAAATATTATAAAAGATCGCAAATGATTGAAAAGATACACGTCGTAAATTGCAATCGCAAGCTACATTAATTCAAATATCGAATCTTTATCATCGATCTTGAGAAGTAAATAACGATATGCGTCAATAAGACAGAAATAAATAGATAAGACAATTTTTTCCGATCATCAGCGTAATATTAATTTGCGAATCGGTTGTTATTTATAATAATTTAATAATTTAATGTTATTAAAAAGCACATTTTATAATCTCTTCCTCTTCCTGTCTATTATCGACAAAAATGTATTGCAAAGAATATCATCTAGTTTTGTGGAGTTGTTTTGATTAAACCGAGTCGTTCCGTTGTTACGCCATTCAAGAACGCGTGGCCATCATACGTGCGCCCAGCTAGTCGTGCAATGTCGATTATTCATTACTCTGTTCATTTATTTAATGAAAGTGTTAAATGATCTTACATAATATAGAAAGAGAGAGAGAGAGAGAGAAGCGGGTGGCTGGTAATGCCGCGGGTTTCCGTCACGGGCGAACAAACAGTGCCCGCCGACTCAGCCAGCCCGTTGTTTTACGTGCCATCGGCGATTCCGCGGTTGAAACGCACCGGTCCCTGTTCCGCACACGCCGTGTCGCGTCGCGTCGCCTCGCCTCGCGTCCTGGCAAACGAGCCCGCCCGGCTCGCTCGCTCGTATTGCTTGTAATTTAGTAATGAATACGTACATACGTACCGCGCGCACACGTGAAGTGTGCGGGGCCGCTGATATGTAGACGCGTAACATCTGGCGGCCTATGAAATGCAGGCACGGCTGAACGAACGGCCTGCAGCTGAACGTTACGACCGACGAGAGTTATGAGCCCCGACTCAATCTCCGGTCCGCGTCCGATATAATTGCGATACTAAAGCTCCGGCACAAGCTCCGATAAAGCGCGTAAATCGCGCGTTTTTCCCCCCCGCCACGATGTGCGGTCACATCATCGACATCGATGATGATATGGTGATAATGATGGAGCTTTGTGTCAATTGAAATTTTTCGCGAAAGAGCAAGAAGCATAGGAAACCGTTTCTTTTGCAGCTATATTATATATTGAGAACATTATCGCGACCGTATGGGTGGAAAATTGCGCTTTCCTACAAAATTGAAGGATGGTATAAAGTTCTCATTATTAAGTCTAAGAATAACTCGTAATGAGGGCTTTACAAAACGTTATTAATAGCTTGTGATTATTAAATCGATTAGCGTAAAGCTGTTATTTGTCAAGCAAAAATTACATTGACTCTTGTGTTTGAAAAATGAAACGATGATCCTTCGCTCAAACCACTCAAACTACTCCGCGTTTAATCTCCTTCTCTCCCTTCATGGAATTAGCATTTATTAACCGAACTCAGTGTTTGTATTCTTCACGCACACGTGGTCCTTTTTTAGATACACATCGCACCGGAATTTCAGCAACTTGCTTTGTTTTGTCTGTGACAAAGTTCAATATATCATCATTGTGTTATTGCGTGTAATTTGCAATGCAAACTCGCTCTAGCATATTAATCGCGCTTAAATTGTTCTTTCCTTGGCCGTGCCGCTCATACATATGAATATGATCGAAAAAAACTCAGTTAAATACGTTACAAATATCGTTTGTCATACTAATTCGTGATCGCTTGTAGGATCGCTATCGACATACGTTAGGATGCGTGGAAAAATGTAGTCGTGGCATGGCGCAAATGCAGCAACATACGTATTACCGTGCTGTGAGTAAATCCAAACATCGTGAACAAGCACACAAATATATCGCGATCATTGCGTTACCTTAATTGAGGTATCGCAACGATCGCTTGACACTCCATTTTGTACTCCCCGCGGATGCGCGCGGTTATTCCACCGTTGCACCGCATTTGTAAAATAAATATAAACATTATATATTATGGAAATCAACTTCATTAAAAACTTCATCAAACTTCATCAAACTGTGATAGAATATTTACATAAGAATATATAGCTCACATATATAATTCATCGACATGGGATCGAACGTACCGGGAAAAGAATTGTCGAAATTTTAAAAACATTTCCAGATAGTACCATTTATGTTCAGCATATTATGCATATTTTGCAATTTTTTAATAGATACAAATAATCCATAGAAAAATGTATATATAATTTAAAAAAATGATAATTATGGATATTGAAGGGTAATAAGAGATGAAATAACACGCACAAAAGTCTTGAGATATGTGTATATGTATATACATAATTCAATATAATTTATATCTATGACCATTTAATATAGTAAATCAAAGTTTATTATATTTATGATATACTTTTATACTCGCCAAGCACCTTGCGATTCTTCGATTGCGGATCTCAAGTGCAAAGGGAAGATGAAATTGTCGATAATCTCGATGATTTCCATTTTTTTAAGAAAAAAATGGATTGCCCAAATTTTTATTAAACAAACACAGACCAGGAAGAAACTGCAAAAAAAACACAGAAAACGCGATTTGTCTAATAAATTTTTTCAACGACTGCTTCTATTATTTATTAAAAAATCATAATGCAGAATCTACTTAAATTTTCAGGCAAATCATTACAAAGTACGGATTTAATCAATAATAAAAATAGATGCTGTCAAAAAATTGTTGTTATTGCTAAAAGAATACTTGTCGATTTAAAATAAAAGTACATAATTGCTAATAATAGTAATATATTTTTACAATTTATATTTTAAGTACATATAGATTAGTTAAGCGTTTTACTTTTGCATAAATTATTTGCTTAAAATTTTTAACGAATATAGAGAGACAAAACAAATATAGAGAGAAAATATATCATACATATTATCGTTTGATATATAGTAATTAAATTTCAACAAATGTTTCAAAAATATCTCTTTCTAAGCATGATATTGTATAATAGCACCAGCGTCTATTTTTAACGTTTGAAATAGCGAATAACAATTTTGTATTTTTATAAAAAACATCGGTCATCTAAAATAAGATTTAAAAAAAAACTAGCACGATTCACATTTCGTATAGATTTTAAATATTTTATGAACTAGACTTTTCGTACAAGCCTATAAAAATTATTATCTAAAGTAGTATATCCATGGAAATTTTACATAATTATTATACCTGATTCCTATCGTTTCAATAAATGTCCTCAAATAATTACACTTAGATTAAGATCGTTTCGTCGGTCTCTTTGAATCTGCAGACGGTTCTCGTTTACTAAGTCCCGTGTCTGAAACAATAATGTTAAATACAACATACTTTTCATATAAATAATTAATACCCTAGTATTCTAAAATTTTCTTGGAAATTTGTTATTTTACATAGATGAGATATATAAAATTGTATCTATATATAAACCCTTATAAATATATGTGTCAACTGTCATTATATCGTCAACATACTCATTTTTACATAAGAAATCACTATTTTATATATCAAATTATTCTTGTTCTGTATATAATCTATTTACCATTTGCTATGGCAGCTACATCATCCGCATCCAATGTCTCATACTGCAATAAAGCTTCTGCTAGCAGTTTGTGTTCTTTCATGTGCGTTTTTAAAATTGCTTTTGCACGTTCATATGATTCCTGTAAAACGAATATTAGAAAGACGATTTGATTATAAAAAGGAGAGTTATAATTAATATAAAACAAGACGGTTTAGTTGATTGTGAAAAGAAGAGTTATAATTTCTTTATAATTAATAATTCTGTTTTACTAAAATGATTAACAAAATTTTATCGTATTGAAAACAAAGAAAAAATCTTTTCTCATTAGCTCGCATTTTTAATACAAAAACGTTAAATTTACCTGTAAAAGCCGTTTTATTTCATTGTCGATGAGCTCGGCCGTGCTTGGCGCGTACGTGATGCTGTTACCGAAAAGCTTCTTATTCTCCACTATTGACCTGAATCCCACCTTCTCCGACATTCCGAAAATCTTTACCATCATCTCCGCTTTCTTTGTCGCCTCCTGCAAAGAGAAAACAAAATACGTATCTCCCCATTTACCTTAATTTATATTCCTAAAATTTCCTTGGACAAACAAATAAAATAATTTTTATCAAACTGGACAATATAATAGCATATAAAAATTAAAAATTAATAAAGTATACATTTTATAAAATATAAATTTTTTTCTTTTTTTATACGATACATTTTGAAAGTTTGGTAAGGCTTCACAAATCATAAATAATAAAATTAAAAAAAGAATTGTGCTATAAAATGAAATTCGAAATATCGCAAAATATAATCATACCTCTAAGTCGGAAGCAGCTCCTGTCGTCACTTTTTCCGGCCCAAATACTAATTCTTCTGCAGCTCTGCCACCCATGATAGCATCCATATCGGCTAACAGTTGTGACTTTGTGACGTGATAAACATCCTTCTCACGCATATAGGAAGTCTAAGACAAAAATTATATAATTTATAGATTAAAAAATACAAAATCGCGCGAGCATAATTTATAAAAAAATCTAAACTCAATTACGTATATAAAATTATAAACAATTTCAATAGTCATAAAAATCATCGTATATAAACACAAATTATATATAAAAAAGATTTTTAGGAGACGAAATAATGAAAAAAAATGATTAATTAGTCGGGATATTTTATGAGATAATCAAACTAAAAGATAAGTTAGTTATATACATGGCCTAACGATGCTCCCCGTGGCACAATGGTGACTTTATGAAGCGGCGTAGCATCTTTCGTGTAAAATGCTACTAGAGCATGCCCTGCTTCGTGGTATGCTGTGAGACGATTGACTTCTTCATCGTGTAACCTTAGCTTGCCCTCTGGACCCATCAATACTTTATCTCTAGCATACTCTAAGTGCTTCATAGTGACGTAGTCTGCTTCATCAATTGCTGCACGCAATGCAGCTTGGTTTACCTGTAATATTATAACAAAAAACTCAATTTATCATACATATTTGTTTCCAAAATCAAATGGATAAAGAAATTTAAATTTTAATAGCCCACTTTAAAAGTACTAAACTATGTTATGTTAAAAAAAAAATGAATCGCAAACTAATCGAAGACTTCGTAATTCAAGGTAACACGACATAATTAAAGCTACATAATAATTTTTCTTACCATGTTTTCGAGATCGGCTCCAGTGAATCCTGTAGTACAGCGTGCTAAATAAGCTGTATCTACTTCATGTGTTAATATTTTGGATAAGTAGAGGTCTAATATCTCTTTACGACCCAAATAGTCAGGCTTATTAACATAAATCTCAACATCGAAACGGCCAGGACGCATTAGCGCTTTGTCAAGATCTTTGCGTCT